TTTCATAATAAATAATTACTCCAATGCAAAGTTTGATTCAATTAAAAATGTGTTTGGAGGAACAATAATAATCCTAAAAAAATTCAAAACACATACATGTTTTATAATATTAGCTTTTTATATATAAAAGAGTAATATTTTATATTTTAAAATTATTGATGTTATATGTATCTAAATATACTTAAATTTTATGGGTATTTTTATGATCAAATATAAATCTATTTTTTTCTAAACACTTTGATGTAACATCATGGAAAATAGAAGTATAATAATATATAAAAATCTTATGGTCATTTCTTTTTTACGATTTATTATTTTATGTTTTACTCTAAAAAAATCTTTGAATGTGAGATAATCTAATATAGAATAATGTAAATAAAATAAAAAATACAAAAAAAACTCTATACATTGTATTATTTAATAAGATTGTTAGATTATCTTATTTTTTAACATTAAGTGGCATATTTTCATGACGTCTTTTAAAATCGTCATATAAAAATAAGAAAAAAGTGATAAATAATTGATTTCATCGTGCTAAAACAATTTTTTGTGACAATAATAAAATGTCACTTTTAGTGTCTTATAAAACATGACAAATTAAATTGTCACAAATAAAACTTATTAATGACAAATATGCAACGCCACTAATTCAAATTGAATCGTCATTGTAATAAATCGTCACTAATACTTGTTTTTCATTGGAGACGATTTTACAACGACATTATTTTATCTAAATGTCAATAAAAGGTTTCCCACCAAAAAATTTGGTGGGAATATTTTAGCGCCAAACATATAGTGACAAAAATCAATGATCATTTTTAAAATTGTCATAAAAGATATATCATTAATTAATAAATATGACGAAAATAAAAAAAACGTCACATTATAGTATGTTTTGTGACGATATACGTAACGTCATATAGAAATTTTGTCATAAATTGATAAATTTGTTGTAGTGTTTGTATCCATTTCCCTTAACCCCATAGATTCTGCTTGTGTTGCATACTAACTTCTTTGAGTGAAGAGAGCTGGGTACAAGCTTTAACACAAAGGGTTGTTTCTAGCAAGTAATTGTGTTTTTATCTCATTTTCATGTAATAAATCCATATATATATAAAAGACTAACTATTTGTGAATACTAGCCATTTCTACTTTTAATTGGACCGACTTGATCAGACAACCAACCGCTGGTGAGTCGTTTCAAAGTTTGAAGGGGTCTTTTTTCCACCAATCTTATAAAGTTGATACATGGCTTCGCAACAAACTTTCTGATTAGTAAATTGATTAACCTTTGCAAGTGTTCAACCATCCGACAATACTTCATAGTTGAGACCAACTAAACATAGGGTTTTACGACTACAGATAAACAAACCAACAAAAAGTTATCCGATAATTTGTCACCACTGGGGTGCAAATGTTCAGACAAAAGACCAGAGCTCTATGTGCATTCTCTTCTTCATTCAAAACTTTCCAAGCTACTGCTCTTTCGTATGCAGTTAAGGTTTTAGACCAAGTCCAAATACTTTAACCTATTTACTTGCACATGATTCATAAAATAGAAAGAAAAGATATATAATCTTTATCCCAAGTTCTTAAAATTTACGAAAAAAAATTAATAAAACGATTTTCAAAATTTTAGTTCAAAAGTATTAAACATGTGATGGACTTCTTTCAATTTATTTATGAAAATTTTTAAAATTAATAACAATGTATAAAATACAAACTCATATATATAGATTTATAAAGTTTGTTGTTCCAGATGTTAATAATGGGCCTGATTGGTAGGCCTGAGACTGTGCTATCTTCTTCTAGGAATCTCATTTCTCGAATGAAGTCTGAATCTGAAAGTTCCCCCAATTCTAAAACTGGAGTCTATTGGGAGATTTGCAAATTGGCGGGCTCTGGAAGAGCTGAAAACGGAGGCAAGTTACTGATCAAACACACGGTGAAATGAGTGCAGGTAATTCAATAACATGGAAGTTATCTTCCTTTTTGTTTTCTTCTTTCGAGATAAATTTTGTTTCTTTGATAATTAATCTCTTCAAAATTTCCATCTTACCATTATACTCCTTAAAGTTGTCGTGTTCCTCTGCTCTTAGTTGTTTTCAATACCCATCCTTTTGAAGCTCAGAAAAGAAACCATTTCGTTTGGGTTATATCGAGTCCGTTGTTTTCTTAAAGCCCCTGTATTTTATCTGGCTTAGTTTAAATTGCTGGTTAGCTGTTCGATAAAAGTCCTCTGAAGATTCTAGTTTTTTAGTATCCCAAATTGTATAGCCCCTTTTAAATAGAATCAGGTAATCCATTTCTTTAATTCTTCTTAGTGATTGTGATTTGTGAAGTGGTTTTGGTCCTTGGAGCAGGAGGTGCATTTGGTGGGAATAGAGGGCTAAGACCAGTGCCACCTGAGAAAGGCATCTTCCCTTTGGACCATTTGAATGAATGTGACTCGGTGAGCAATCTTGCTTTTGATTCTTGAAGATATTTAAAAACACTATTTTGTTGAAACAAGATTTTGAATTTGAGCTTTTGAATGGGATGTCTCATTTCTATATTTAACTCTAATGTCCCCAATTTTTTTTTTTTTTTTTTGTAGGAGAAGAAAGAATACCTCAATTGCCTTAAAACTTCTGGCCATAAATCCGAAAAATGTAGACCATTCTCCAAGAAATACTTGCAGTGTCGAATGGAAAAGTGAGGCTTATTTTTCTCTTGTTGCCACCTTTTTCTTACTTTTGTATGATTTTTCCCCTCTTCATTTTTTGGATGATTTTTTTATGGATAGATACCCATTTTGATGTTCCCCCCAGCGTATTGTAGATTTATTTCGTAAAAAAATTGATCTATTTGCTCAGAACCTTAGATTTCTAGTTCAATTTGATGATTTACAATATGCGGTTCCAGTCCTGTTTCTGCTAAATATGTCATTTTATGCTTCCAAACCCAAACATGATCGGATTTAGGAACCTAATTCTTGCAAAAAGCCCCCGTTGAATGTTTTGAACAGAAATTTGTAAATATATTTCCATTACTACTCAAGTATCATGGTGGATTAAATTAGTTGTCAACGATGCATTGGTGAGATGACAAGGATTTCTCCTATAGTCCTACCTTAACCAGTGGTAGAGAGTTGAATCCTTGTTTTGGATATGGAGCAACTCTAAAATTGTTGGTCAGTGTTTACGCCTTTGGCCTATAGAACGCGGAGGATTAGTCATTGGACTCGCGTCTATGAACAACTTTGGGAAGAAAAATAGTTGCCGACGGCTAGTCCACGCCCTTGGCATTGAATTTTTCAGTTTGTAAAATAAAATTCATCTGAGAAGCAAGCAGCAATATGTATTTGTGTATAATTTTGTATAATATCTATCTATAATAAGTTTAAGGAATATAATGATGAGTTTAAATGGAGAATGGTTGTTCTTTTTGACAGGAACTTGATGGCAAAACAGGACTTGGGTGAACTTGGATTTCGGAAGCCGTCGGAGATGGAAGCTTTTGTCGGAAATGAATTACCACAAAATTGATGGTTATCTTGCTTCTTTTGCAATTCATCTCGACTTTTTTTCCCTTCTGAACGGTACTCATCGGAATGTTCCTTGTTTAAGTGGAATTCATATATTGGTTAATATTTTTTTTTAAATACGTGGTTAATTCTAGCAACTTATTTTTTATTTTTTGATAAATTTGGGTGTACGAAAGATAGTATCTATTCAAAGATTCTCAATCATTTGACAATGAATATTCATACTCGTCATATGAGATGCTTGAACTTAGGATTTTCAAAGATAATAAGAAATCTCTTAATTACTGAGGTCGTTTATTTCATGAAACTTAATATTAATTTTAGGTAATACAAATCAATAAAAGTAAATGAATAAATCATTTGTATACGACTGAAATGAAGTTTGAAACTAAATTAACTTAAATAAATAAAATATATTTGATTTCATTTTCTTTTCTTTTTTTCTATTTTTCTTGAGCTTATGTTAATCTTATCTATTTTGGATTCAATGAGTTCAATTAATCGACTATTTTGGATCTAAGTTAAATAGATTGATAATAAGTTTTTTGAGTTTGTATTTTTTATGGGTAATTTATGCTTTTAGCATCTAAATTATTAGCTTTGGTCCATTTTACTATCTAAATGTTTAATTTTTTTTAAAAATCATATTTAATGTTTAGTTTTTGTTTCGTTTTAGTACATTTTTGTTAAAAACTTAAAATCACCACTTAACAAGTGATTTGATCGTGACACCCTTTTTATGGGTAAACTGCATCATTCATTACTTAACTATTTTTTCACTCCTATTTTGGTCACTAAAGTTTATTTTTTTATTAATTACTTAACTTTCAAATTACTCCTATTTTAATCACTCTAACTTTCAATTTTTTTAATTATATATTAATAAAATAATAATAATAAAAAATATTATGTCACAAAAATTATTAATAAAAATAAATTATAGTGATTAAAATAAGAATAATTTGAAAGTTGAGTAGTTAAATTGTAAATTTTTAAACTTTAGCACCAAAATAAGAGAAGAAGATAATTGAGTGATGAATAACAAAATTTATCTATAAAAATACATTGTCATTAAGTTTCTAACGACAAAGTAATAAAATAAAATAAAAATTAAATTAGATACGATTTTAAAAAAATTAAAAGTTTAAGTGTTAAAATAGATCAAAATTAATAATTTTGATACTAAACACGTAATTTACTCTTTTTATATTTGATTCGTTTCAAGTATAGATGTTGTTAAAATTTTATAATTAAATAAATTTTAAATAAGCTCAAAATCAAACATTATCAGTAATTTTTCAATTTTAAATTCATTTGGTCTTTTTCCATAACGCAAACTGTAATAGAATTTAAAAAGAAGATAGGGGGGATGGAAAAGAAAAACGGCTGGCGGGAGACAAAACCCAAGACAAGCAGCAACATTTACCTGTAATTACAAAAATAAAAATTAAAAAGAAAGAATTTTTAAACTCTCTACCTACTTGCCTCGATGGCTTCGCTACATTCATTTCTGCATTTCTCCCCTTTCTCTTCTTCTTCTTTTGCTTCTTCCATGGCGTACCATTTGTTTCTTCAGCCGCCGCATTTCTCCTTCTACACGTAAGTTGTACTTTTAAGCTCCCCTATTTACTTCGTCAAGGGTATGTACTCCTTGAAACTATGACCTTCTCTCAATGGATCGAGAGAAAAAATATTTGGTTTTTGTCGCCTTTGCCTGCATCAAATTTATGGTAATCTTCTTTTTTATTGCATATGCTATTTACTTTTAACTGATTCCAAGAATACATTTTTATTTCATTGTTTTTTGGTTATGTGAAGTTGGTTGACTTTCCCTTTCTCTTGTATATTGTCTTAATTAGAACATAGAACCCAATCATGTACTGCCAATTACTCGTTTGATTCATGTAATATTCTTTTTAGATCATTTAGAAAACAAAAATTCTTTAAAACCAAAAGGCTAAATGAATCAAAACGGAAGATGGGAAGCAATGTAATATTAATGAATTTGTTGTTAGTTTGAGGAGTTGAACATATTTATCTGTCACAGACAAACTTTTAAACCCTCTAATGGATGGAATTGGAAGCCTAGTTCAAGTGCATTACACTGTTCAATGTTCCACCGAAGGCTGCAGGGGAATCATTTCACGGAAAATACGAGCAATTTACTTGGATTACGGTTTGCTGGTTACACTTCTTCAAAAGGTACATTTCAAAGTGCATTCTCGGCAGTGTCTTCTTCCCCTCCTTGTGATCCCTCTGATACTGGCAACAAGGCTGTTTTACACGAGGGTGATTCTCCCGCAATCGAATTCAATCGGGTAAATTGTCTTGTTTGGGTATTACATGAAGCTGCCAGAAGCTTTTCCCTTGCAGTTGAGTCACTTGAGTTGGATGGAAGCTGTGCTGAGATTGCAACGGCTTGGAATGGAAAGGATGTGCATCAATGGCATAAACGTATTGCTCATCGGGTAAATGCTCAACAGCCCTAAATAAATAAATAAAACTAATTATGAACCTTTACAGATTTGTTAAAAATAGTCTAGAAATAGTATATTAGAAGTATTGAGATTCATGTTGTTGGCAACTACTTATAGACAAGTTAACCATATGCTGCAAAACTTTAGTTCGTTTGTTGCTTGTGCCTGAATATCATCGTTAGCTAATGTGATTCTTCAGGTAGCTGTTTATGCTATGTTGAAACGGTAATCGAAGTGGAGATATTTGCTCTCTCAAGAACGTCATAACAATCCATCCCCAGTTAGAAAGATGTAAGTTTTTGTAGCAGTTCTTTTAGTCTTGGATTACGGTTTGCTGGTTACACTTCTTCAAAAGGTACATTTCGAAGTGCATTCTCGGCAGTGTCTTCTTCCCCTCCTTGTGATCCCTCTGATACTGGCAACAAGGCTGTTTTACACGAGGGTGATTCTCCCGCAATCGAATTCAATCGGGTAAATTGTCTTGTTTGGGTATTACATGAAGCTGCCAGAAGCTTTTCCCTTGCAGTTGAGTCACTTGAGTTGGATGGAAGCTGTGCTGAGATTGCAACGGCTTGGAATGGAAAGGATGTGCATCAATGGCATAAGCGTATTGCTCATCGGGTAAATGCTCAACAGCCCTAAATAAATAAATAAAACTAATTATGAACCTTTACAGATTTGTTAAAAATAGTCTAGAAATAGTATATTAGAAGTATTGAGATTCATGTTGTTGGCAACTACTTATAGACAAGTTAACCATATGCTGCAAAACTTTAGTGTTCTGTTTGTTGCTTGTGCCTTGAACTATCATCGTTAGCTAATGTGATTCTTCAGGTAGCTGTTTATGCTATGTTGAAAACGGTAATCGAAGTGGAGATATTGCTCTCTCAAGAACGTCATAACAATCCATCCCCAGTTAGAAAGATGTAAGTTTTTGTAGCAGTTCTTTTAGTCTATAATCTATATTATTAGTATTATCATAAATGATAGTATTAAGAGATATAAAACTTAAAAAATAAACTCTGTTAGACCAAACTCAGGTAGTGTTTGTGCTAATGCCCGCAGAAAACATCCAAAGAACTCTATGTTCCTCAGACTCTGGCCAAGTCTACTGTCTCTCTCCTTAATTATGCCTGGTGATAGTGGTGTTTAGCAGCTCTAATGTTTTGTTTTGCCATTTGCTATAGCTTGACTGCAGAGACAGGTTCATTAGAGGAGTTCATTGAAAGTCGGTTGAAATTGAGACATCCAAAATTGGTACAATGGTTCAGAGTGGTGGAACTTCCAAGGATGACAGGATTTTTCATTCCATTGTTAAAGAAATGGTCTATGGAGTATGCAGGAAGGTTTGCTCAAAATACTCCTTTGTTTTCAACCAAAAGTATTTTTTTCTTCCCTATAGGATCATTGACACCGTCCTTCATAACTACGTCCTTCTGGTAAATGTGAAATAGATTCATATGTTTATTTTCCCCACATCCAATAATTTCATCTTGAATAAATTCATCGATTATTCTGCAACCTGTGGCTTAACCTAAACAACACAAGCATATTCAGTGGTGTTGCAGGGATTATTATGGCTATTAGCTGCTGTGCCGCAGTAGAGAAATTGAGTTCTGAACATACCTCTTGTCCCTTGTCTAAAATATCAGTAGGCGATGCTATAGTGGAGCTTATGGATCTTTCACATGGTATTGTTTCGGTCGACAGATTACACCACTTAGCAACTGAGGCAGGATTTGAAGCTCATTTCCTGTCACATTTTGGTGCAAAGGTTCTGTCTAGCAAGAAAAGTGATGAGATAGAATTTTGGATAGGGTTGGCTCAGAGGAAACTTTCAGTAGCTTTCACCAAAGAAACCATGATTCCAGGCAAATTGGCATTTAACAGCAAGGTTCGTCTCATGATTCCCAAATATTTTAGTATTTTTAGCAAGTCTGTCCTTTCAGAACACATTGTCGATGGTTTATGTTGTTCTAAACATTTGGTTTTAATATTTTAATAGCTTCAAGCAGATAGCTTGGCTACATTAGGACTTTTTGCTTATCTAGGGAGGAAGACTAGATTGGTTTTTTCACAATTGCGTATAAATGATCTAGATGAGCTGGTGAAGGACTTCCTGAGGTAAAATGTGTCTTGATTTCGTTGACTCCCGATTACTGCAACTCACCATTGAAATATACTATAAGAGTTGTACTGATTTGGGTGCAGCTACTTGGAGTGCGGCAGCCTTTTCATTTACCCGGAGTTCTCTTCGATATCAGTTTACCAATTCTTCATGGAGGTTAGCTTTACATGCCCTCTCTGTTGGAAATGCCTAACACTAGCCATTTCATTTCCACGAAGTTTGGCATGAATTCTTGTATTTTATTCTTACCCTCTGTTCCTGTCTTAAAATATCACATTGAACTATGAGAGTCGATCTCTAAACCACGTTTTTCAGACACTAACTAACTTGAATGCTAAAATTATACATACAGGTAGTAACTGATGAAATTGGATGGCTTGATTTTTATGGAAATTGTTCTTTCACTAGCAATTATGAAAAAAGGTCCAAGCAGCATGCGATACAAGCAGAGAAAGAAATCATACTGTCAAATGTTTTTACTGTTTGCTATGATGTTTTTTCTGGGTTTGCGCACTTCAGCCGCTCAGCTCAGCAGCCCTTAGATTCTCAATTGTTAGCATTCTTGCTCCAGAGGTAGCCAATACTTTTTCTACCATAATATCTTAACTTATCTGATTGTTTTCTTAGTAAATAGGATTTTTAAGATATGCTATCTGAAATTTTCAGTCAAAGGCTGTTATCTTTATGTCTGGAAGATTACTGGGCTGCTTACGATAGATTGGGGTATGTTGGCTTTCCCATGGTGTTTTCCGCAGTAGAACGAGCTTTGCACGAAAAAAATACATTATTGAGCTAATATTGAATTATCTAGCAGGGAACCGTTAAAGATTACAGACTCGGGTGCCTCTAAGCATGGACCATCTACTGGAGCTCCTGGCACAACCCGGTTTTCAGTGGCGTTGAAAGCACTCGCAGAGGAATCTCAAATTGATGAATTTGGACAGTTTCGTCTGCTGAAGAAGGTACAGATTCCATAATCAGATATGCGATGTTATGTCATTTCCTTTCACAATAAATTCCATTGGAAAACCTGTAGATTTGAAGAAAAAGAAAATGGTGAAATCTTGCATGACTGTAACTAGGATAAATACAATTCAAGCGGTGTTACTCGACTGAGAATTTAACAATCTCATGAACATAAAACCTCTCTCATATCTGGAAATAATTGAGGAAGATAAAAGACTGACAGATGAAGTGGTTAAGTACTTCTAATGTGTTCTTTGATCAAATATCAGTCAAGGAGAATGTCTTTAAAAGTTGCAAAGCCATTTGTGTTTTGCATGTCAAAGCTGCAATAGTATTGTGGGAAACCAGACATGATCAGTGACAATACCGGATAAGATGAGCAACAGAGTTCTGATCAAAGGTGGACGAATGAGATAGATTCCAGTAGGAGCAGGTTTAAGATGATGATAATGCCACAAAGGTACTACAGAAAGTATATGCATCGAATTTAGGCATAAAAGTAATTCAGACAAGCAATGCGGCAATGCCTATTCTCAGCTGTCAAGATCTCTTATAGTTTCCCCATTCACAAGCTTGAAGCAACACTTGCATTTTGTGCATTCTACCGTACAACTATCTATAACAAAAAAAGAAAAGGGTCACTTACCATGAAACTTCATTTAATGGTGCAAAACTGATATGCAACCACGAAACTAACAATACCACTCAGCAGATCAACATCATTTAGTCTCTATTATGACAGATAGCTTTCGGAGATTGCAAAAATCATATGTGAAATGTTGACCGCTTAACCACACATATTTTACATATATGGACACATGTTACCACTGGTTTACAGTTAATTTATTTACTTTTTGCTGTTGATAGCTGCAGCACTTCTGTGCAGCCAGCAAAGATACGGTAACCTTTGCAGAGGGAACTGACATCCCGAAATCAAATACCCTGCACGAGAGCTTAATTAGAAAATGCTGGACCAAATTGATTTCTTCAAGTTTCGTATGGCCCAAAACCTTGTTCTTGTCACTGAACAGACTCATACTATCTTATCTTACTTCGAGCATTAATAGTAAAATAACGAAATTTTACAGGATGTATGGTTGGGAACTCAGTTGCTATTCGTTGACCTCACAGTTTCCCTGGAGCTACTCGCAAAGCAATTGCGAGGGCAGAAGGTCACAGCCAGAGAGAAAAGGAAGTTAAAAAGAACATTGAATGACATTGCTACACTTATTCCTGTTACAATTCTAATGCTCCTTCCTGTAAGAAGTTTAACTCCTCTCACCAATGCTTTCATCACATTCACTCATAGGATGATTGCCTTATTGTTAAATTCTTTGATTAGGTTTAATTATAACATAACATGTTAATTCCTTGAGGAATGAACAATCATATGTAATTATCCTTTTCTCATTTACATCCTTTCAGTATGCTTAGTTCAAGTTACCAAGCTTTTGTTCCTAGAATGTAGCCATCATCAGCAAAGCAATCCCCCATAAGTGATCCATTATTTGCAGTACCAAAGGCCTTCCATAGCTTATATAGTTTTCTTTTACATATTAAAATGGCCAGGTATCAGCTGTAGGTCATGCAGCAATGGTAGCAGCAATCAACAAGTACATACCGTCTTTGGTAAAGAGGCCTCGTTGTTGTCTCTTCTTCTATTTCTGTTAATCCTTTTTAGAACTTTGTGCTAAATCATAGTTTCATTTACTGCCCCAACCAGATTCCATCACCATATACTTCTGAGCGTTTGGATGTTGCGAAACAACTGAAAAGAACCAAGAAGATGGAAGTTACATCCTGGAGCAACCTTGAAGACTCTACCTCTTAACTCAAATTCCCATCTTCACATTTGATTTCAGACATTTGAGCTTACAATTTATAATTTGTACATACCACATTGATATGTAGACACGCTCAGAAAGTGAATATAACTTTGTATGTATAAATATTTATAGTATCTGTTTTTTTTTTTAAAAGAAACTACTCGTGTTCAAATATACGTGACTCGAAACATTTTTAAATGTCATGTTAGAGTTTTTTTTAACCACCAGTATCCGATCTATTAATCAATTAATTCGGATTGAATACTATAGAGGCATGGACGACCTTCTCAATTCAGTTTGTTCTATTCGCAATCGTCAAGATTTAAATCTCTGATATTACTTAAGAGGTCTAATATTTCATCCCATTAGACCAACTGGTTGTTGGTGTCATGTTAGAGTCTATGAAAAGCCCATACTCAAACAAAACAAGTTTGAAATTAAGCTTCTCCAATTGCCGAGCACGAACCAAGCAACCTCGATGATATAAGAGTTGTAATTTCTTGAGGTCCCGAATTTAAGCATCAGATAAATGTCAGAGGTGTAAATGTTCACGGCATGTTCACTGTCAAATGATTGAAAATTATCTTTAAACATATATTACTTTATATTTACATATATTAATAAAAAAATGTTATATCCATTCATCTTCAATTTGTGGTTTTCCGAAGCATAGTGTAAATCCTACATGGGGAACATTCATAATTGCCGCAAGTGTTAATAGGAAGGTTAAATTTAAAATTTAATCATTTAACTTTATTTGCACGAATTTAGTACAATCTATTTTTGGGGTCTAAAAAATAAAATTCAATTGTTAACATAACTTCATTAATAAATCCAGATCTATTACATTTTTTAATTACAAAACTTTCAAACTTGGTATTTTGTTTATTTCAAGATGTTAACAATTAAACTTGAAATGCTAAATCCAAATGTAAACGGGTATAGGACACATTTTGACCTAATGATAAAATCAGCACTTGAATATAAAAAAGAAAACAAGAATTCATATAAACTGCTTTCAAATTTTCATTGATAACAAAATGCATATTTATTTGTAATTCCATATGGACGAATACAAATGTCCGTAAAGTTTAATCATTTACTTATGCAAAAGGCTAGTAGTAGCACAAAGCCCAAAATTAATTCACATGGAACTATATAAAAGGCAGAAAGGCGGGGGGGGGGGGGTAGGGAGTCGTTTTCTATAAATTTGAGATATAACATTTGCAGGCATTTTAACAGATCAAACCTGCCGTTCATGTACATTGTCTCAGTCGAAATGCTTTGCCGTGGAAATACGTATTTTTTGTGGTTGCATTGGCAATGGCAAAAACACGCAGCACAAAACTCTACAATTCCATTAAAAGAAGAAAAAGAAACTGTGAAACAAAAACATATTTTCCCAACAAGATTGCAGCTTATCCTTTCTAATTTAAGGGTGTTCCTCACTTGTTTTACACGAAATGCAATGGACCAAGGTGCATGTAATATCTTCAAAAGATATTACCATCATTCCAAAGACCATACCTTACACTGTCCTCTTTGGATCACGAGAAGCTGCAAGATGGTCCTGCAAAACAAAAGCCCACTTACAAGATTATCAGCTATAATCCACAAATAGCTAACCAAAATAGAAAATGCTAGAACTTCAAAACTTACCAAAATAAAATCAAATGCTCTGGTATCCTGCTTCTTGGAACTATTCATCATTGAACTAGCCGTTTGAGTTGGGAAATTTGACTGGAAAATATCAGGCAGAGGTGACCCTCCATTTGATCCACTGGAAGCATGATTAATCCCAACATTTTGTGCGTTAAGATTACCAAAGTGTTGTAAGTTAGACATCGCAGCAAGCAATTGCTGCTGAGCAAAGAAATTCCCCATAGCACCGTTATTCATAGGCTGAGAAAGAAAAGGCTGGGTTCAACATTATTCCAGGAGGAATGGCATATGGCATGGTTCCTGAAGGAAACATCGGATTGTTGTCATCCCTGTGGCTTGAGAACCAAGGATACCGCTCAAAGCATCATTAAAAGCTTGATGGCTAGAATGAGTGTTGATGTGGTAAATATATTTCAGGGGCCTCAGATGTGATTCCTTTCTGCTTCGAATTAGATAGATTTTCAGTCATCGAAAAGCCAGCCATTAAATAATTAACAGAGTTGTTTTTATTCTCTGGCTCAAATGGAGTTTCAGAAGTGGTTCCAAAGATATCAATTAGTTCAGATTTTTTATTTGCAGACATATGATTACCATTGATAATGGACTTGTCATCTATTGTCAACCCAAAGAAGAGATCGTCCACGTTTTCTCTACCCTCACCAGTGTGAAATGAGACATCTGCAAAGGGATCGTCATCATCTTTCTGTTCGGTAGCACCAAAATCAGCAGCTATACCGTCTCCAAACAAGTCATCAATAAGCGGGGTAGTGGTCAGGTTTGCAGTATTGTGATTATTTGGGTCTTTTGAGGAAGTATCTTGTCCATCATAATCATTTGGATCACCAGTGTCTATCAGGTCAGGCATTTGAACGGGAGTGGTCACAGGCTTTAAAGACCTTTCTGAATTACGAGCCAAACCACCTGCCTGTTCCCCATTCAAAAGAATCAACACCTGTATATCAAGATCACTCGATTTCATTCACAGAAAATAATATCATACCAGCTATAAATCAGCATCAAAATACATAATAACTAATCAAGCTCATATAACAACATTAAGAATCGTGACAATTAAAGATTGAACACAATGATCATTCCAAGACCATGAATTAAAAAGCAATTGGAATATAATGTGACGACTGCAAGAACCAATCCTAAAATATCTTGAGCTATAGACTTGAACAGAAGCAAAGATAAATCTGCCTGCCCTAAAAGAAAATAGAGTATACAACAAGGGTCAAAATTCATTTTTGGACAATTGTTTAAGGGAAAACGAGCTAGCATCTAAAAATTAATATAATAGATAATAAAATTTATTTTTTATAATTTAAAAGAAGAAACTAATACCCACCATCAACTTAGATTTGCTTAATATATGCCAGTAGTAAATGCATTGCCTTAATTAATCCAAACAGGAAGGAAAGATCAAGTGTTCTTCCTACCGTAAACCAAAAAACAACCAACATTAAAAAAGAACTTAAAATGGAATTTTCCATAGGCCCAAAGCAAGTTCTCAAGCATAAATTAGTTGAATTTTCTTTTATCCTCCATGAATTCAGTTTATTCTATTTAATCAGAACATGTTTTAGCTTCTTAGCAAATAAAGCGAGAGAAAAAAAACAAAAAGAAAATCATACAATCATGGCACCAGAAAAGGTGGTCTAGACTGGACCTTAAACTGTAAAAAAGAATGGTGTTTTTTTCAGGTTAAAGGAAAAACAGAAGGTTGACTAAGATAAATACCTTGTTGGCCTTTTCTCTGAGAGAAGCTTGGGGAGACTCAGAACATCTCAAAACGATATCTTTGTTCTCAGTAAAATAAGAAGCCACAATTACAAAATGCTCATCTTCCTTTCTCCTCAAAATGGACTCAAGCACACACATAGCTTTCATGCGAACCTGACCATAAAAAAATCATGTTAAGGATAAAAGATAACTAATAAAAATACTCCGATCATTGCTTTGGAAGAAATCAATACACAATTATCACCGATATTTTTTTTTATAGGAATTGAATGCCTCGTTAAAAACCCCCTTCTTGATTAAAGGAACTTGTAGAGAAGCTCCTTAATCAGCGGAAGGAGGAAAAGAGTGCTTTAAGATTTCATTAAACATAAGAAATTACATAGATAAGAAATTACATAGATACAACCAGAGAGTCACCCCCAACATAGACAGGAAACCAAAAACAACCGAAAACACCCCTCCACAACAACACTAACCCAGCCTAAACCATCTTAGCTACAACAACAGCTTTAATATGACTAACCAGACAAAAAGCCAAAACTTGGCCCGAAATACAACACAAAACAATACAACTATAACAGAAGCCAAAAAAATCAGATGACTCAATCCATAGAAGCCAAATTCAAACACAAAAGCCATGAGCTTCCACACGATAAGAGTACAAAAAAGAAAAACTCGAAAACACTCTATCCACTTTTCTACCCCTTAATGCTCATCATGTCATCGGAGACCATCCGAGCCTCCTACTCCAATATCAAAAATCATAATCGAGTCCCCTGAAACTATTCACAACATATTGTTTCTTGAATCAACACAAACTCACGCTTAAACATCCAATAATCCTCCTTAGTTTAGAAGAAATAAAACATTTGAGCCCATCCCTCGATTGATCCAAGATAAGAACCTCATCTCGACCTACTTCCTCTGAGAACAACTAAAATCAACAGAAAGGGATTGTGACACACCTTTCAATACTTCCATTGCCATAATGTTCCGAGATCAAAAACACTTGTGAGCCTTTAGAATCATATAGGGATCTGCCTTCAAGTACAGACACCTCTTCCTCGCGTTGCACCTTACTCTGATAATTCTTGCTTCAGCAACCTCTAGTCTTCCTTTGGGGAGCCGTAAAATTCTCTTGAAATATTTGGAAAGAGCTATATTTATTATTAATCCCCTCTTTTGCTTTCTGGTATTACCTGGCCTCACCCTTGGAACTTTTGAATGCGCACTTATTTGTAAGGCCCACATTAATCACATCCTCTACCACCTTTGACTCTATTCGACCATCCAACATGGGGAAATCTGTAAAATAATCCTTCAATCCCTCATAAGCACGTGCAGACTCACAACTTTTCTTGTTGTCATCTTCTGCCTCTCTCTCCGCGTGTTCCAGCACTACCTCGTGTTCCACCGTTTCCAACACTTCCTCGTGTTCCACCACTTCCTTGATTTGCGTTTGAACCTTCCCCTGACCAGCAACATTATTCCTCAGACCCATAATGATTTCCTCCACTATGTTCCGCTCCTCCACGCCCTCACCCGACAAGAAGCTACCTTTAGCTCTGTTCCCCATACAACATAATTGACTGTCTTCTACCTCAGAACACCTCTCGGAATTCTTCTCCTCC